TCACTTACTACTCACTCTTTTTATTTCTCTCATTCATTCTCTCACTCGCACCACCTAATCCACTCGCTCACTTACTCCTTCTATTTCTCTCTTTCATTCGTTCACTCAGTCCACTCTCTTCCTCTCTCATTCGTCGTCCACTTAGTCTGCTCTCTTACTCGCTCATTCAATCGGCGATGGAATGCAACGCCGTACGTATCACGTCGAACCACTGCGTCACACTTTCATTTTCCATCCCTCGTCGACTCAGTCTTTCGAAATGATCCTTCCATGGATGCTGTACGGAAAACATAAACTCTGATAGCCGGTACACGTAATGGAATTTTCGAAAAATTTCATGGCAACTTAATTGTACTCGTCTACTTCGTTTATTTTTATTTTTTATGGCTTAATTGGAATCGTCATTGTTGTTTCTTAGTTATTCATTTAATTTTTAACCAACTTCGAAGAAAGAGGAGGTTCCCCAATTCGACATGTACATATATTTTTTTTTTCTTGTTCGATTATTTATCCTCATTTATATTTAATTGTAGATGAATTATATAATATATGAGTGCAATTTAGATTACAAATATTTCACTGCAATGCGTAATTTTACGTACGTGATATTTTTATCTTTATTCTTATTAAATTATTTAATATGAATTGAATAATATATGGGTGCATTTTGTACTATACATATTTCTACTTCTATTTCAATATGAATTAAATAAGTTTTTCTTACGTCTGATATATGATCGATAGAATTCACGATTAAATAAAGGTAATTTTACGAATGAAAAGTTTATGACGTCAATAAATATTCATACTGCTCGTAAGGTCTAAAATCAACGATTACTAAACATGTAAACTTGCTAATGAATTAATTTATTTTGAAATTTATTCTCCACATTGCTATGCACGCCAACTAATTACTAATTAATACGCGTTTCCAAGTGCAGGGAATGCTTTTTAAGAAAGCTATGCGTAATCAAGAATGACACGACAAAGTTCTAGTGTTACGATGCGTTGTAAAATATATTTTTTAAGGCCTTTTGCAAATGATTTTGGTAGAAGGAGAAGGCTTAGATGAATTCTACTGTTGTATACTAATTGTAAATGATATATATTCTCGTAAGGGAGATGTTCTTGAAGAATGCATTCTCTTCCAAGAAAATATAAAAAAAAAGAGATCGTATAAGCATGCAATCCATGCTAGCCATTACAGTCGTATTTGCGTAAGAGTAAATCATACTTGCTTGTCTTCGTATCAAGTGCTCAGAATAACCACCTTATACTCGAATGCAAGCCTGTAAACGTCTAGCCATAAATCTTCTAATGCATTCGAAGTCCCAGGTGTTGTTTGGCGTCGTTAGCAACCTTGTCGAATACAACTCATTCCCACTCGACTCACGAATTATTCTCACCTCTAGTCTATTTAAATTTCTGGTGGACTTAAATAAAGTCAAGGGCAAGGAGATTTCTCATCCGAATCTATCATTGACCTTCTATAATGTTCAGTTACGACTCTCAGCATAAAGAAAATTTAATTGATATTGTAATTAACGGTCACTTCATACTTGTTATTATTTTTCAATTTGTCGTGACTTCAGTTAGGCCTCAAATTGATAAGTACATAATACAAGTGACATAAGTTCGTTTTATTCGTACTTTATTAAATTTCATTTATATTACGTTTCTTTGTTATTGTTATGTTTACGTTTCTGTTGAATTAAAACTCGTAATCTATGATTACATCTTTGATTTTATCTATATAGAAAAGAAACGAGTGGAAAATATTAGTCAAGACTTTCGAAAATTCCATCTTTGAACCCAAATACAAGCACATGACGGCATTT